AAGTAGACTAGTCGTAGGAGTAGTAGTAGTAGTAGTAGTAGTAGTAGTCGTAGTAGTAGTAGTAGCAGCAGCAGCAGCAGCAGTAGTAGTAGTAGTAGTAGTAGTAGTAGTAGTAGTAGTAGACGTAGTAGTAGCAGTAGTTGTTGTAGTAGTAGTAGTAGTAGTAGAATGTGAAGTAGTAGTAGTGGTCGTTGTATTCGTAGAAGTAGTAGTAGTAGTAGTAGCAGTAGTAGTAGTAGTCGTAGTAGTCGTAGTCGTAGTCGTAGTAGTAGTAGTAGTAGTAGTAGTAGTAGTAGTAGTAGTAGTAGTAGTAGTAGTAGTAGTAGTAGTAGTAGTAGTAGTAGTAGTAGTAGTAGTAGTAGTCGTAGTAGCAGTAGTAGTAGTAGTAGTAGTAGTAGTAGTAGTAGTAGTAGTCGTAGTAGTAGTAGTAGTAATAGTAGTAGTAGCAGTAGGTAGGTAGTAGTAGTAGTAGTAGTAGTAGTAGTAGTAGTAGTAGCAGTAGTAGTAGTAGTAGTAGTCGTAGTAGTAGTAGTGTTAAAAACGTTCGTTAGTAAAGTAGTTTAGTCAGTAGTAGTAACGGTTGTTCGGTAGTTAGTCGTATAGTATTTAGTACTCGTTAGTAGTCGTAGTCGTTCGTCGTAGTTTAGTTATAGCAGTAGTAGCCGTAGTAGTTAGTAGCAGGAGGTTAGTAGCCAGTAGAGTAGTTAGTAGTACGAGTTACGAGTACGAGTAGCTTAGTAGTAGTAGTTGTAGTAGTAGTAGGAGTGAGTAGTAGTAGTAGTAGTAGTAGTAGTAGTCGTAGTCGTAGTCGTAGTAGTAGTAGTAGTAGTAGTAGTAGTAGCAGTAGTAGTAGTAGTTGTAGTAGTAGTAGTACTAGTGGTAGTGTCAGTAGTAGTAGTAGTAGTAGTAGTAGTAGTAGTAATAGTAATAGAAGTAGTAGTAGTAGTAGTAGTAGTAGTAGTAGTAGTAGTAGTAGTAGTAGTCGTAGTAGTAGTCGTCGTAGTAGTCGTAGTAGTAGTGGTAGTAGTAGTAGTAGTAGTAGTAGTAGTTAGTAGTAGTAGTTAGGTAGTAGTAGTTAGGTAGTAGTAGTTAGGTAGTAGTAGTAGTAGTGTTCAGTAGTAGTATGAGTAGTAGTAGTAGTGGTGTAGTCGTCAGTAGGGTTTGTGAGTAGTGTTAGTAGTAGTAGTAGTCAGTATGAGTATGTAGTAGTAGTAAGTAGTTAGTATAAGATCCCAAGTAGTCCCAGTAGTAGTAGTAGTAGTAGTAGTAGTAGTAGTAGTAGTAGTAGTAGTAGTAGTAGTAGTAGTAGTAATATTCCTCTTATCCCTCCTTCTCGTTCTCCTACTCCTCCTCCTCCGCCTCCTCCTCCTCCGCCTTGTCTGTGCGCAACCCGAAGTTTTACCAGTCCCACTCGAGGAGTCCCAAATCTCAGGCACGGACTGGCGCCGTGGACATCGTCGCCGACGGTGGCCCGCCGATGGTGTTGGTGGACAGCGAGGCACTTGTGACGTGACAGCTCTCGAGTGCAGCATTCGTACTTATGAATTGCTGGTGAATATCTCACGACGTGACCCTCCATGCTGCCGAACGCAGAAGAATATCTCATCCCATAACGCTATACTCCACGGGCCTCTCCCAAGGGGCATTCTGACCCAGGTTTCGAAACAAGTCCAGCTGTGGCGATGACGGTAGAGAAGTGGTACCACAGCCAGTCAGTCCCTGAGATCCGACGTTTCGAAAGTTCGCAGCACTGGGGGATTCACTCACGACTGAAGCGCTATACCCTATTTTTCTGCGTCATTCTCAGACTGGGTCGGTCTGTGATGGTCCGGGATCCCGAAACCTGGCGAAAACGCCTGGTGTGAAATCCAAAAATCCGATGTACTGATTTGTTCAATACGGGGTCCCCACAAGTCCCGACCCTTTCCCCAGGGCCGCTTTTGCATCATGAATACTACGTTGGCCGTCCAGGAGCCCAGTGACGGCCCCAAGAGGCCGAAAACGACGAAAAATCTCCGCATTGAAGTCCCACCAGCCCTCTGGGCGTAGGTGGTTTAGGGAGTTTCCTCTTCCACCCCTCCTTTTTCCCCCTCGGGGGGGGTCATCACTGTTCCCTATTAGTATGCACCCCCTCCCCCAGGCGACTGGGAGCCAACCAGGGTCAAAGCGGGCACCCCCCCGCCATCCCTTTGTTAAAAAACAATACAAAACACACTCCGCCTCCAAAGTGGAGGGGGCGGCGGCGGCAGCGGTGGCGGCAGCGGCTGCGGCGGCAGCGGCTGCGGCGGCGGCGATTCGGCAGCGGGGGCGGCGGCGGCGGCGGCGGCGGCGGCGGCGGCGGCGGCGGCGGGCGGCGCGGCGGCGGCGGCGGCGGACAGCGCGACGGCGGCGGCGGCGGCGGCGCGGCGGCGGCGGCGAGCGGCGGCGGCGGCGGCAGAGGCGGCGGCGGCGGCGGCGGCGGCGGACTCGCCCCCAATAGCTGCCCATCCAAAGACGACTGCTGAATATGCTGCGGCTCGGCCCAGGCTCGGGTGCTACGTATGTGTTGGGAGGGTGGGTGGGAGTGAGCAAGACGGCTTGCGGGCGGGGAGGGGGTCTTGACCCGTCCTCCTACCTCCCCCCCTGGACCTGGACAGAGGGTTCCGCGAGGTGTCGGAGCGTCCAAAACGGCCTCGGCGAGGAAGCCAAAATCATTGGTTTTACTAAGGTTTTGGCCCCATGTTGGCCTCTTGGGGGGGGGGACGCTAATTAAAGCTCCCCTCTTGTTTGCCCAGGAGGCCCCAAGAGGTCCCAAGATGGCCCCAAGATGGCCCCAAGAGGCCCCCAAGAGGCCCCCAAGAGGCCCCCACAAAAGATCCCAAGCGGCCCCAAGATGCCCCCCCGAGGCACCCAAGACGCCGAAGAGCCCCAAACGACCGCCAAGAGACCCCCAAGACGTCCCAAGACGACCAAGAGATACCCCAAGAGGCTCCGAGAAGCATCCAAGAGACCTCTGGCCCTTTTGCTTGCTCTCCTCCTCCTCCTCCTCCTCCTCCTCCTCCTCCTCCTCCCTCCTCCTATCCCTTCTCATCCTCCTCCTCCCTCTGCGCCTCCTCCTCCTCCTCCTCATCGTATTCATCCTCCTTCTCCCTACTCCCTCATCCATCCATCCAATTTTCGTCTTCGCCCCCTCTCTCCTTCACACAGTTCGGCCGTCCCCTCTTTGCTCCCGCCTTCCCTGATCACCTCTCAACTCGCCTGGACATCGTTTCTGGATGGGCTGGTAGGGAACGCGAAGCGTCTAAAATTTTCAGTGCGTTGGAGATCTGGAAAAAGTTCCGAGTGGGAGATCGACTACATAAAATATGTACCCCCAAGCTGATTCGTTTGTCGAATATGCGGAATATACGTCGAAGGCCCGTAGATCTACACCAGTTCGAGGTATTTCCCCTTGTATATTCGGCGAATATGTCAAGTTTGAGGTGAGTCAATTATGTTGTCAATCCCCTACTCGAAAAGTTAGAGGCCTCCTGGATGGGGTCCGAGGAGATGGGGTCGGGGGATTGCATCGCATGGCCGATACATCAGCGACGTCGGCGATGCATCGGCGACGTCGGCGCGGAGAAAATCAGGATCCACATCGAAACGCATCGTCGATGCATCGGCGATGCGGAGCGATCCTCCGACCCCACCTGCTCCGACCCCATCCAGGAGGCCTCGAAAAGTGCAGCGCCCAGATCTCAGGGGTCGTCTTCTGCGCGCCGAACCCGGGGCACGCCAGGCCGCTGCCCCCGAGACCGCAGCCCTGCGAGACCGCGCCGGCGAAGCCGGGGGCGCAACGCCAGCCCTCCGCCGCCTTCTCGTAGCCTGGGCAGACCTCCTTCTCCTCCTCCTCCTCCTCCCCTCCTCCTCCTCCTCTCTCCTCCTCCTCTCCTCGCTCCTCCTCCTCCTCGTCCTCCTACTCTCATCATCATATCAGCATCATCATCATCATCATCATCATCATCATCATCATCACATCATCATCAATCATCATCATCATCATCATCAGATCATCATCATCTCCTCTATCATCATCATCATCATCATCATAATCATCATCATCATCATCATCATCATCATCATCATCATCATCATCATCATCATCATCATCATCATCATCATCATCATCATCATCATCATGATCATGATCATCATCACCATGCTCGAGCAAATCGAGGTCAGGCCCTGGTACTGCAGCAGCGCGCGTCGGCGAGAACCAAGACATGCAAGACAGCTGGGAACAGCAGAGATTCAAGAGCATGCTGCAGCGCCTGGTTGTGGCAAGGACGACTCCCCCCCATCACCATCATCAGCATCATCATCATCAGCAGCATCATCGGCATCAGCATCAGCATCATCATCATCAGCATCATCATCAGCAGCAGAATCAGCATCATCATCATCATCATCATCATCATCATCATCATCATCATCATCAGAATCATCATCATCATCATCATCATCGTCATCATCATCAGCATCATCATCATAATCATCATCAGCAGCATCATCATCGTCATCATCATCAGCATCATCAGCAGCAGCATCAGCATCATCATCATAATCACTATCATCTGCATCAGCATCAGCCTCAGCATCAGCATTAGCATCATCGTCAGCATAAGCATCATCCTCATCATCATCATCATCACCATCATCAGCAGCAGCATCATTATAGTCGTCGTCATCATAATCATCATCAGTATCAGTATCATGATCACTCTCAGTATCATCATACCTCTCGTCCCCTTCCGCCTTCACACATCCCCAAACCCCTCCTCTGTGAATCCCTTCTTCCCTTCCCACCCCAACCATCCCGCCGCGGTTATGGCCGGCACAGAACATGGATAGTTCAGGCACCGACCAAGATTGGTAAATACCCTCCGCTTCGTTTCGACCGTGTCTGGACACCGCCAGGGTCCACGGGATGGTTTTCATGGGACCCCTGGCCCTGAGAGGGGATCCGACGAGCGCGTGGCCTACGGGCACCGTGTCGCACGACAGGTCGCAGGACGGCAGCGTGTACAGCAGCGGCTGAGCGGCACCGCTGCTGCCGTAGGGGCACGTCGCGGCCGTGGGCTCGCCGACCTTGGCGCGCCAGGCCGATCACACGGCCGATCGTGGCGCCTCGGCCGCCCGACATCGCCATGGGAGACCGGCCTACTCATGCGATCGAGGCTGAGCCGGCAGCCCGGTCGGCGACGGGGCGGCCAGGCCGCGAGACCGCGGCGGCACGATCGGCAGGCACCGAGGCGCCGGCGTAGGGGTCCCTGCAGCGCACCTCGCATGACTCGCCAGAGGCTACGGACGAGCAGCCGTACGCCACGTAGGGGGAGTCCAGCTCCAGCGGCGCGCAGGCCGAGAAGCGCTCGCAGCCGACGAGCACAAACTCCGCGCTACAGTTGCCGTCGCCCTCGTCCTGGGCCAGCGAAGCGTTCAAGTGCAGCACAAGGGATGTCCCGGTCAGCGGGGCTGGGGTGGAGGGGTGGCCTGTGGGGGCAAGGGATGCGGGAGGGGAGGTTTCAGAAATGTCTGAAGATGTTCGTGGGCAAACTAGTGACTGAGGGTTGAGCGCCGTCCAGAGGGCTCAGAAGGCATCAGCTGATGCAGACCTCTGGGCGCTCGGGAGGGTTTGGGATGGAGCTGGGCATCTGGAGGTTCACATGGTTAGTGAGGGCTTGTGGGTGGGGGTCGGATCAGGGGAGGCCCCGCTGGATTGGGATGGCGAATCCCGGCTGCAGCCTCCCCCGGGTTCCCCCCCTCTGCTACCCATGGACCGCCCCCAGGGGGACTCTCGCACGCATAAGGCGCCAGTGCACCATCACCATGCCTGACCAGGGCCGCCCTGGGCCCCACCGTAGTGAATCGGGGCCTCCTGGCCACGGCCAGGGAGGCCCCGAGAGCCCGGGATGCCCCTGGCCAGGCATGGTGGTGCACAGATGCCGTCGGCGCGTCTGGGTCGGCCGACGTCCACGACGTGCGAGTCGTTGCAGAAGGCGGTCGCGTTGCCGGTGTACCCCCAGTCGCACTCGAACCCAGCAGGGGTTGCCGCGTAGCCCGCGGGCATAGGCCGCGGGGCGGCGCACCGCAGCTCGCACTGCGGCGGGGCGCCCACCAGGTGCTGCTGCGGGTCGACATTGCCCTGGGCACGGCTCGGAAGTCTGTCTGGCGAGCGGGCAATCCCCACCTCCTCCCCCCCCCCCCTCTGCGCAGCCTTCTCCTGACAAGGCTTGGGGCTGCGCACGGACAGCCCCCCGACCCCCGAAGCAGCCGCCGATGCCCTCGACAGGCCCCCCGCTCAGTCCGGGGCGGTCCCTGCGCCGGCCCCCTGGGGCGCTCCGCGCTCCAGGGCTGGTGTGCTGAGACCGCCCTGGACCACCCTTGGGAGCCTGCCACTGCTGCCCCTCCGCGCTCGTCCCCCGCTCCTCTCCCCAGCGCGTGCCTCGGGGCACACCAGGACGGTGGCGTTGCCCGCGTACGGGGCGCGGCAGCTCGCCTCGCAAGCCCCGCCAGGGGGCACCTGCTCGCAGCCCGACGCCTCCAGCTTGCAGGGATCAACGACGGGGGTCTGGCAGGGGGCGGGCGGGAGGCACCCCGCGAGCTCGAGCCTCTCGGGAGGCCGGGGGAGGTGGGACATACACCGCCAAGACTCCCCGAGCCCCGTGGTTGGCTCAGGTCCAGGTGCAAATCGGCTCAGCAGGGCCCAGACTGAAGGCGATACACGTGCGTGTATAAATATATACATATAGATATATAAATATACATATATGTACACACAGACACACAGACACAGACACAGACACAGACACAGACACAGACACAGACACAGACACAGACACAGACACAGACACAGACACAGACACAGACACAGACACAGACACAGACACAGACACAGACACAGACACAGACACAGACACAGACACAGACCAACACACACACACACACACAACCACACACACACACTTTTGCGTCGGCGGCTGGGCAGACGCTGACTGCTCCGGCGAATTGGCAGCAGGGGACACGCTGCATGCCGCCATGCACGGAAGAGGAGGAGGGGCCACGGCGCGACAGGAAGAGAGGAAGCCAGGCCCACTCAGAGTCGCGGGCTGCGACAGGGGAGCGCGGAGGGGGGGAACCAGCGCCGGTACTGAGCTGCACTGAGCTGCAGCTGGGGGGAACGCGGCCCAGCAGACTGGGCGGCAGATGGGGGAGCAACACAAGCGAAGCAGACTCTTGGGGGCCTCTTGGGAGCCTGTTTTGGGGCGTCTTGGAGCCTCGTGGGGGCCGCTCGGGGGCCTGTTGGCAGCCTCGGGGGTGATCTTGGGGCGGATGGCTCGAAACGGTAGCTCGGGTTCCCTCTCTTGTGTCAATCTCGTCCCCCTGTTGGGGCCCTCTTTGGCCACGCGCGCGTTTCGCGCGCGCGCGTAGCTTCCAGCAAGCCGCAGCCATTGACAAGATCGCAGCTTCACTGCAGTAGTCACCCACAAAGGCTTTAAACAGAAAGTAAGAAATGCCAACAACGAGAACCAAGCAGAGACGCATAACCGACAAGGACGCTTCAATATAGTTCAACGCGAAGAAATGCAATCGATGCAATGGCAGCGCAATGCAGCAGATTGCCATGGAAACTGGGTGCGAGGATAATGGAACGCGAAGTATTGCAAGCAGAAGTGAGAGAAACGAGTGCAACGCAATGCGATAAAGTACAGTTCAAGGCAACATAGAGCAATGTGAACAAAGATAATGTAAAGCACGAAGCAATACACCTGGACGTTTGACGCAAATGAACGCAGTGCAATACGATGCAACGAAATGCAAAGAGCCAATCGAACCTCAGGACCCCCGGGAGCTTAGAGATCCCAAGAACGGGGAATCCAAAGAAAGATCCTGGTTAACCCAGGCCGAGGGTCACAAGTGCTGTCGGTTCTGTTTCGCAAACAGAAACAGGGAGGACAGAGGAACGGGTACGAAGAGGGAGGAGGGAGAAGCGAGGATACAGGCGGAAGGAAGGATAAGAGAAGACTCAGGCAGAGGCGGTTGGAGGCAAGATGAACGGAGGAAGGCAAAGGAGGCAGGCGGGACCGCATAGCGTCCGCCAGCCCATTTCGGCACACTCTTCACACGGACCGTGTCCCCCAGGGAGCGCCACCTCTGGCCTCAGACAAACGCAGAGCTCACATAGCGTCACCCGGCCAATTGCGGGACTCTCCTCGCACGGATCGTGCCCCTCTGACGGTGCCGCAGTCAAAGTTCGCATGGCGCCCCTGCGCCCATTTCGCCACACCCTTCACACGGAACGTGCCCCACTGAGGGTTCCACGTGCAGCACCACTGGGAGAATTCGCATAGCATCCCCCCGCATATGTCGACTCACCCCTCAAACGGATCGCGTCCCACAGGGACAACTGGCAGCCCCAGAGACAGAGTTCGCACACGCTCCACCCATAGCGGGACACCCCTGGCAGGGCCCGTTGCCCAAAGAGAGCTACACCTGCGGCCCCAGAGAGAAGGTTTCCACACCCCTCACACGGATCAGGCCCCGTAGGGAGCTCCACCGACGGCTCCAACAGGAAGGGTCACATGGCGTCCCTCCGCGTATGTCGCCACACCCCTGACGCGGATCGCACACCGCAAGGATATCCATCTATGGCATCCATGGGCAATTTCGCATAGCGTCCCCACGCCCTTCTTGGCGCCGATACACGCGTTTCGCGCTCAACAAGGAGCTCCACCTACGGCCTCAGTGGGCGCGCTCGCGCGGCGGCCGCCCCCTTCACGCGGATCACGCCCCACAGGGAGCTCAGCGTGCCTGCGCGCGCTAGCTCCGCAGCGACCCCCTATCCGGTCTGCCTCGCGGCGCGCAGTATTTGAAGAGAGAGGGAGAGAGAGGGAGAGCCGCGCCCTGCGCTACACGCAGCTTCATAGGGGTGGGCCCTTCGCCAGGCCAAGCGATTTCTCTTGTCTCTTACATGTGCACACACACATGAACACAGACATACAACCGTTCATGCATGCATACATACATACGCACGTACATACAAACATATACATACACACACACAAACACACACACACACACACACACACACACACACACACACACACACACCCACACACACACACACACACACACACACACACACACACACACACACACACGCACACACACACACACACACACACATTTGAACAAAACCTGTGCCGATCAGGAGGTGCCCCAGGAACGGGCCTAGGTTGTGGACCAGAGGCCTCTCGCTGATGTATATCAAGGTTTCTTTGCGAGTCTCTCAGGGGCCCTCCTGGGCCTCTGAGGAGTCTCCTGGGGGCTTCCTAGGGGCATCGTGGGGCCTCTTAGGGGGCCTCTTGGGGGCCCCTTGGGGGCCTTGTTCCTCCGCACCAGCAGAGGCGACGACAACACCACGACTTGTGAGCACTGCTGCAGATCACCACAGCCTGGCAGCGCCACCACGTGCCACGGAGAAGTGCCTTGCAAGCGAAGAGAACAAAAAAACAAGGGGAGGAGCAGAAAGGAAGAGGAAGGGGACAGAGGGCGGGGGAGGGCGCCACCAAATGTGGCAAGGAGGCCACAGCTAGGTGACCGCCGCGAGGCCGGAGCTGGGCTGGGCAGGCGCAGAAACTCTTGTCCCGGCCGCGTGGCAGATACTCGGGAAAGCCGAGGGGGGCAGCACAGTGAAATGGATATTTGACTGAAATAAATACTAGCATCGGTTATGGCCCACATAGCCGCGAGCACAAAACAGTGCCTAGGGAACTCTTGTCCCAGCCACGTGGCCGATGGTCGGGAAGCCCGAAGGGAGCAGCATTGTGAGATTGACGCTAACCTGAGCTAAACAATAAAAACGGTTATGGCACCGAAAACGGCGAGCACTAAATCAATCCAAGCCCAAATGGCCAATGATGATGCGCATGAAAGCCCCGCGGAGGCAGGAGGAGGGAAGAGACGAGGAAGCGGAGGGGGAGGAGAGGAAATAGACTAAGTGGCCGCAGCCCAAGGAACGGGTATCACAGTGGCATGAAAACGAATCTGCACTAAACTAGTACCGTCGGTTATTGCCCACGTAACCGCGTGCAGTATCTAAGTTGTGGCGGTTTGTAAGCAGCGAAGCGCCGAACCGCCGGGCTGGCGTGCAAGCCCAGAGCGGGAACTACCGCGTGCGGGCCGGCACGAGGAAGCAGATCAAAAAATCAGCACTCACGCTTGGTCCTGCACGAGTGGGGAGAGCGAGACGAGAGAGGGGGAGAAAGGAAGGAAGAGAAGCATCCTCGGAACTACTCCGCCAGGCCCAGCACAAGAGGGAAGGTGCTCACAGCTCGAACCCGTCGTGGATCAGCGCACGTTGGAAGTCGCGACAGCCACTCCCGAACCCGAGTTATGACTCCCGAAACCCTTCCTGAGATTTGCCCACTGGGGATCTCTTGGGGCCTCTCGCGGGCGTCTTGGAGGCCTTTGGGGCCTCTTGGGGACTTCTTGGGGGCCTCTTGGGGGCCTCAGGGGTCTTCTTTGGGCAGGATGCTCGAAATTTCTATTGGAGTTCCCCATCCTGGGCTCATCTTTGGGCTTTGTGGAGGCCCGTTTACGCCGTCTTGGGGGCCTCTTGGACCGTCTTGGGACCTTCTTGGGCCGTCTTGGGGCCCTCTTGGGGGCCCTTTGGGCCGTCTGGGGGCGGTCTTGGGGGCCTCGGAGGTCGTCAAGGACGGCACGAGGACCAGTGAATGGAATGGGGCGATTTGTGCTTGTCGGCGTCCTCGTGGGGGACCTCTTGAAAGGGCCTTCAAGCGTCTTGGACGCCGCAGGGGCTGTTCGAGACGCCTCGTGAGCCGTCGTACACCCCATGGAGGCCGTCTTGAGGGTGGTTCGCGACTGTCTTGGGGCGCCGTGACGCCTGTCAGACCGCCCTGGGGGGCTTTAGGAACCCCCAACGGCGGGCCTGGCCACCGGACCACCCATTGTAGTAGGGGTCGTGGCCCCCGGGGCCCCTGGGCCCAGTCCCCAATTATGTGTGTATATCTATAGATATAGATGTGCATGTACACATATATATTATATATATATATATATATATATATATATATAATATATACACCCATATGTATATATACACGCACATATTGCAAGAATCGCTCCAGAATGGGCCTGCGGATGCCTGGCGGTGGTGGTGTACTTCCCCTCTCCCGAGGAGGGCATGCTCAATGCTGGCGATACGTGGGGCGTCCGCTTTCCCCGGCAGTGCCCTCCTGACCCAGGCAGGGGGTCGTCCTCGGACGGGGAGCGATGATCGCAAGCATTGGGTCCCACCTCGGCGCCTCCGGCCACATCCACCCTGGCTGACGACCGCACTGCCGAGGTAGCCAGGGGCACAGTACCAGCCAGACCCGTTGCGCAGGTACCCCGCGGGAAGGTAGTCGCAGTCCTGGGGGCAGGCTCGGCCAACTGCTTGGATCGGCGGCCCTCCAGGGGGGACGTGAGAAGGAGAAGGCCTTCTCAGAAGGCTCGGAAGTCCCCTGGCCTTCTGACAAGTGTTCGAAACCTCCCCCCAAAGACACAAAAAACCTGTCAGAAGGCCGGAGGCCTTCTGAGAAGTGTCGCCGACTTCTGAGAAGGCCTTCTCCTTCTCACTTCCCCCCCTCGCTCGCCGCCGATTGGATGCTGCCGCGGCGGGGCCCTGGCGCAAGGGTGCCTCCCGCGTCTCCCTTCATGGCGGAGCCCGGCAAGGGGTGCTCGGAAGGCAAAGCCGGAACCACCATGGGCCAGGGACACCTCAGGCAGCACCTGACATGCGGGGGCTGTCCCCCTGGGCAAGCCTGCGAATCATGGGAAACCAGGAATCACCACGGGAGGGAGTATCAGACGGGAGCCGCTGTTGTAAAGTTCGGGCGCCAACAACACAGTCTGGAGACCCAAGACATTCCCTGGCAGAAGACTGATTGCGAGACCTGGGAGGGGTTGGATGCTCATTCTGGGGACCTTCCTGGAGACACTCGCTCCACTCGTGCGTCGAAGCTGCGTCGAACGTCCGTCGATTTGAGCCGACCTTGAGTCGAACCTGAATCGAACCTGAGTCGAACTTGAGTCGAAATTGAGTCGAACTGGGAACGAACTAAACTCTAACATATTCGTTAGGTGGGGCCCAGGAAGGTCCCAAAAACAAGCATCTAAGAGGGGCACTTCAATTGGAAAACACACATCTGTATATTACCGGGGAAGTGGGGTCAACAAAATATTATTTCTGAAGACAGCATTCCATAGGAATCCGCGCCACGGCTCCCCCCTTCAGAAACGCAC